GCGGCCACATGGGTTGCTATGGCACTAGTTCCACCACTGGCCACACCTACATTCACTTGGATATGACAGTGAAGGTGCAGAGATGCTCCTTCATCAGTGTTAGGCACTGCTTCTGTGCCCACAATTTCTGTTTGCTGTGTGCAGTATCCCTTGCTTTTAAGTGACAAAGGGTAGCTTGCTTGGCAGATGAGGAGTTTTTTTATGTAACCAGGTTGTTGGTCTTTTAAGCTGTGCAGCAGAAAGTTTGGACCTGCCCCAAATCATTGCTTCACTGTGCTGGAACTCCTGTGACAGATGAGAGGGGAAGGCTGCGAGTGCAGCTCTCCCCTCTCACTGTTCCCACGGAGCAGAGCGGAGAACGGACGTTCTTCACTCTGCTCCCCGCTCTCCATCCTGAAGCGAGGATCTCCGGCCGATGGGGAGAGAGGTAGCCGGTGGAGGGGGGGGTAACTGCAGTGCCATTGACTTCAATGCACCGCCATGCCTCCTCCCGTCCCAAAACACAGTGAGCTGGCCGGGTTGCCTTCCAGAGGCCGAACACACTAAAACGCACTCTTTATGGTGTGACTGGGCCCTGAATGGGCATTAGCTGATATTCAGTTTGCTCGCCTTTTTAAAATTCTGACTGCATTGTTCAGTGACGCAATGATAGGACTGCTTTCCAGCATGGAACCTATGGAGCTTATACAGCCAGGGGGTTTATACTGATGTTGCCACAGTGCTTCCTTATATGTTTTTTCTCTTTGCAGCATGTTAAGAAATAAAATCCAAGGTGTGGTGGGAGCAATGATTTTTCATATTCTAGTCTCGGTAATATAGCCAGCATTTACTTTCAAGCACATATTTTTGCTCTTATTCTTTTAGGCATCTGCTAGATTTTCCACAGAGGCACTTTCCTCTCCCACGTATCACTCAATCTGTTTTTCAAGCTGCAGTTTTGCCTGGATTTGTTCCTTACTTTTTAGCAGGCATATCATGAACAGGCAGAAGCTTTGTATGCTCATGCTATTTTTATATTATGCTATAGCACATGTGCATAAGACAAAGCCAAAAAAAAACCCAAAAAAATAATGATATGTTATGCAGCGTTAAAAAAACCCAATAATGATATGTTATGCAGCGTTAAAAAAAAAAAAAGAAAATCTATCTGAAAATGCAAGTTGCCTTGTTGTTTTTGTCTCCCTAACCTGGAATAAGCATATACTGAGTAAAATCAGAAATCCTGATCTGCATACTTTAAAGTGACTGACACTGACACTTACCCTGACATTTTTTAATCTGAACTCTGGGCACACAAACTTTAAAATATATTCCTCAATCGCCACAAAGGATATAAATTCACTTTGTGCTCTCCAGACGCCTTTGCAAACCCTGTTCTTACCTTGTTAAAGTAGGAGTAACATAATCACTATGCTGTACACAGACTGTGCAGGGAGCAGAGCTATGAGAGTTGCCAAGCAGACCCACCAACTATAAGTCGCCTTCAGAAAACTACAGGAGGGGGCGGATACAAGACCAATCACCCTGCACAAGGCGAGAGGAGAGCTGTAACCGGTCTTTATTACAGGAAGCTCCTGCACAGAGGCAAAGTTTTATACTGGATTACTGCACAGATCTGGAAGAAATACATAAAGCGCACTAAGATTCAAGTATGATGGGGGGCTGTGCAGCTCTCAGGGGAGGGCAGCTGTGGCTCTGTAAATAAAATAAGTCCGACCATCCAGGATGGTCTCGGTATGCGATACGGGCCGGTCACAATCAGGCAGCAGCGGTCTCTAAACAGGCGTATTAGACGGCCACTCGCTTGGGCCTCTCAGGGTCCTAGCGAGGAGCAAGCGGCCATTTAATATGCCTGTTTGGAGGCTGCCGCTGACTTATATTGACTGGCCCGTATCGCGTACCGAGGCGCTCCAGGACGGTCAGACTTATTTTCAGAGGTGGCCCGAACCTGGGCTTGCGTGCCAGCCAAGAGGACACCGCATGGCCTCCCTGGCACGCATGCCATAAGTTTGTCACCACTGCTGTAGACTCTTGACCTATCATTTGGGCCTCTCCTATTTTTGTATTAGTGCAATTTGGACACACCCACCATAGCTCCGCCCAATGCCCACCAAGTATGCTGATTGAGAGGAAGTGCCTATGGCAGGGATCTCAACTGGAAAAAAGTGATTTCAGGGAGATGCCCTCTCCCCCCCCATCATCCACGGGGGGAGGGGCGGGGGGGAGCAGCCCCCTGAGGCCCTGTTCACATTGCACGTTTGTCGCGCGATTTGCATTTTGCAAGCGAGAATCGCGGCAAAATCCGCTCCAAAAAGGGTCCTGCTGTAGCGACACACGACTCGCGACAGCAGGACCCTTTGCCCCATTGAGATGCATTGAAGAGTGATATCGCGCGGTAAATAGCCGCGATATCGCGGGAATTACCGCGCGATAAATCGCTCAATGTGAACGGGGCCTAAAATGAACATGCCACACACCCGCTGACAATCATACGATTCTCGGCGGGTTTTCGAACATGTTCCTAAAGGAGAACTATGAGGTGAGTGCTTTTCACTCACCTCATAGTTCTAGCCGACCTGTGACAATGAGACTGTCACAGGTCGGCTCAGTAGATCGGGAGGTGATGGAACACATACTGGCGTTCGCTCACCTCTCGATCCTGTCACTGCTCTCTGCCGTGACAGGGGAGGGACTGGATTCCCCACTCCGATCCCCCAGCGCTGACTGGCGGAACGGACGGGGGAGGGGGCGGGTACAGCTGGCTCTGCCTTTAGATAGCAGCTCGCGGTATACTGCGGCGTCTCAGTATACCGCGAGCTACGGCTCCGGGGCATATGACGCTAGGGTGGCGGGAGGG